TTCATTCCTCCTCTGATGAAAGCAACATAACACAGGCTGTTCAAACAAGTGCTGTACTGAAAGATTAGTTCAAAATTTGGATATTTTTGTGGCAGATTTGAAACAGTGCTTGTTAGATCCATATCGAGGGCTATGCAGATCTGGCATAGCTTCACCTAGGGCCAGGTTTTTTTAATAGAGCTAAAAAAGATTTACAGCAGCTAGGGATATATGCCTATATTGCATATAGTTATGTGTGTATGGATTGGATGCTCTGTTTGTCCTACGTAACCCATGGAGTTGATGGTTATGCACTGACCACTCATCTTTAGTTTGAAGCAGCATATGTCACCTTTCAGTGTTGCGAATTTACACTGTTATAAAAATCATAGAATCTCAGAATCGAATGTTGGAAAAGATTTCTAAGATTATCTCATCCAAGCACCAACCCACCCTCACCATGCCCACTGACCATGTCCCTCAGAGCCACATCCACCCTGCTCTTGAACACCTCCAAGGGACAGTGACTGCACCACCTCCCCGGGCAACCTGCGCCACTGCATCACCGCTCTGAGATCCATTGGATCTGAGTGGTGAGAATGCGCTGCCTGCGTTACTGCTCTGACAAAGGCAGCTTACACTACCCACAGTCAGAGCAGTAGCTACTCAGATAGGCAGGTGTCATCCCAGGGCACAACAAGGAGAGAATGTAGAGCCCTTGTAAAACTCTGGCATGATCTGTAGAAGGGTCACTGGGGCTGCAATGTGGGATGGAGGACAAATAGTCCTTCTTGCAACCCTTGATGCTACAGTTTCATCTGTGGATGGTCAGAGCCTCGATGGCTTGGCTCCAGGCTCCCTCACGAATAAAGCATGCAGAGATACTGAAACTCCAGCTGTTGTGCCCAAATTCCTTTCTGCCGCGGGGAAAGACAGATTGCTCACAAAAGGGCAAGTGTGAGTGGCTGGCCACGGAGATTTGTTCTCTCAATCCATCAAATATTTCCATGTGCTTCATTCCAAAATATTGATGTGTAGAGCCTTGGGAGTTTTATATTTAGCAAGGAACATAAATCACAGATGCAGGGGGGCAGCTTCTGTAATGTTTCCTGGCTTATCGACTGCACCACTAATAGCTCAGAGGGGCTTGTAAATCGGACTGTGAATTCCACAGTACAAGCAGTGGCGAGGAGAAAGCCATTTACCTCTGGTGGAGGCTGGGAAACACTTTCTGGTGACAGGTCCTGGGGCATATCAGGATCCTCCTGGCAAGGCTCCCAGGGGGCTGTGAGGTGTCAGTGAAACACGTGGGACCCACTCATTCACAAGCCTGAGGGTGACACCAGCACATGGATTTCCTCAGACATGCTCTGAGGATCTTTGTGCTGGCTCCTCTTTTACTTTATTCTTTGTTCATTTGCTTAGCAAAGAAGCTTCACACAGGTCCTGTTCCTTTCACTGGTTGGTGGCTTGTAAATCCAGAATATCAGATAAATTGCTTGAGATCTTGGGAACGCTCATGTGAGCAGCATCAGTCTTTCCCTGGCTGGGAGAATCATCAGCCTTCCCAGCATACTCACTGGTGTGCTGTTGCAAGGAAGACTTGAGGTCTTCTCCTTTGTAATTCATTGTTTTACGCCTCTGAATAACCCAGTGTTTAGTTTAATAATAATTCTTTGTATTCTTGTAGTTCCATCCATCTGAGCACCAAGAATTGATTTGCCAACATCAAAGCCTCCATCCTCTTGTATTGAATTTTGGCATCAAAAATCCCCATTCTGACAGATTTCCCCTCTAGCAGCTTGTCCTGGCCTTTAAAAATTCTTCTAAGTAGAATCTGAGAATGGCTTTCCTGCTTCCCTCTTGAGTTTACAGCAAAACTTGCCAACAGTGAGAAAGTGTGCATCCAAAACAATGGCAGTAATATGCATGAGGTCCTGCCAAACACAAGGGGTAAAATGCCTGAAGGAGATAACCAAATACTTGCTTATTGTATTCACAAGGCTCGCTCACTAACAGCCAGATTATAATTTTAGCAATAGGAGGTACCCAGCTTTGAACAGATGGGATCTGCGAGCTGGCACGTCCCTCACAGAGCTTCATTGTGACCCCATGTGGACAAGCACTCGCATCACTGAAGTCAACACATCTGCACCAGGGCTGAGGAGTTGCCTGCTAGGCTAGCATCATGGGAGCCTGCGCTGGGGGATGCAGATCCATGATGTTATTGCATTCAGTTACCTCTAAATTAGGCAGAGCCTTGGTTCTCTTTAGGCCCTTGGACCAAAAAAAAACCCCAAGACCTGCCTTTCCATCTCTTCCCAGCACTATGGAGCTTCCTGATTTTTTCTTCTTGCCTACCAGGACCTTTGCAGAGATTTTCTAGGCATTAATGCAGGGAGTGAGACTGAGCGCAGTGATCTCCCTCAAACCTGAGAAAACTTGCACGTGGTATGTTGCAGGAAGAGTTTTGTCAAGCACATTTTCCTTTGTTCCTTTAATTGTCCCCTCTCCTTGCCTTACTTTAGAGATGGCTGCCCATGCAACCCAGCATCCACAGAACAAATGTCTGTAGGGCACAGCCTCTTTGTCTGAACCGTACCCACTCTCACATCATTGGCGAGCTGACAGAACCTCGCGCTCTAGATGCCCTTCTATTGTGCAATGGGATTTGATTCCATTTACTTTCCGTGAACTCTGTTAACTTTGTGCAGCGCTCTGTTTGCGCTCCTGTGTCTATTTTAAAATGACACACCTTGTGGACTTCTGTCATTCAAAATTTTACAAATACTTCACCCTGATCTTTTTACAAAATGTTGACTGTCGAAGCTAACAACAACAGTTTGTCATGGTCTTTTCTGCTGCCTCTGGCAGAGCTTATTTAACTCTTTCTGCAGTAATTAATATTTCCTTTGCAGACTTTCCTTACCACAGATCTAGAAAGACATCTACTGCGCATCTATAAAAATTGCTGTCTTTATTTGTATTTTTGCCACCCGTGTCTTTTCTTTGGCTACCAGCTCTCCTGGATGTTACTCTCTCTCCAATTGGGCAAGGTTTCTTATCTGCATTACTGCTATGAAAGGAACCTTAGGAGTTTGGACCCCACAGTGCTGATGGAGGCATAAAACTAGCCAGGAATCGTGATCCTAGAGAACTAACAAATCTTTTTTGGCTCACTTTATGTTTTAATACCTTGACGTTGCAAAAAAAATAAATTATGGAAAGCTGTCCAAAAGTTTCCACTAGAAGCATTTCCCTGGGAACCTCATGTCTCTGCATGCTACACAGCACAGTTCCATGATCCTGAGCATCTTGGGGCCATCAGGAGAACAACCTGTCATTCACAGCCTAACAAAAGGCTACTCCTACCCCATATTTAATTATTATCTGTGTTTGCAAGCATTTTTCCAGGACAGTCTCATCATGGAAAAGGTTATCCATTGTCTATTGAAATTTCTTTGCTGTCCTTTCCCCCCACAAACATTCAAAAAGCACCTCTCAGGCAGCCAAAAATGCAAGTCTGGAAAGAAATTTTGGATTTCCATTTTGGATTTCCAGGATACATTTGAAGGAGAGGAAGTCACTCACGCTGATGCTGAAATTAAGGTGTTCCAAATTGTTAAAATTGGTTTTGGAGCTTCAAGGGTTAAAAATATGCATTCTAAAATGTGAATTGAGGTAATCTTATGATTTAGCAAAACTGCTGCCTGATAACACGCCCACTGCCTTTTGATGATAGGAAAGGAACTGCTGGAGGAACGGAAGAGGGTGCTGTCAGTCTCAGGTAAGATGCATTTAACAAAGCTGATAGCAGCCCAGACGGTCTCTCTTGCAGGAAGGTTAGGAGAAAGGAAGCACAACATGTCAGCTGAGCCTCAGTTGATGGGCTTGAGCTGCTCAGCCTGCTGCAGCTCCCTGCTCTGAATTCCACATGGTGCAGAGCCCAGCAACAGGGATGAACTTCTTGCTTGGCATCGGATGCCCAGAGGCACTGCATGGCATATTAAGCATCATGTAGGCATGTGATCCTAAGTCACTGGCAGCATCCCAGCGGAGTCATATTTCCATTGCATTCCTTGGATATCTCCCAGCCACTGGCCTGAGAAAGTCACTAACCTTCATGTGCTTCATTGTTCTGGCAGGATGTCTCCATCCAGCTGGTGTCGCGTGACTTCTGCTGACCACTGAGCGTGCTCTTGCACAACTCATCCCAGAAACATCTGATCTAACAGACACGTCCTGGCAATACCATGCACCTTGCTCCTCAACACCCACCAGCAGGTTGCATATCACTTCCAGCTGAGCAGCTGGGTGAGTCTTCCCAGCCAGGGCACATCATCATCACTCCCACCAACAACCTCTCCTGCCTGAAAGCAGAGGAACTGCAGGCAGTCTAACAGATTTAGGGCTTTAGAATTTGCAGTGTTTGAAGAGAGGACCCCTTAAGGATGTAGGATATTATTTGGATATTAGGAAAAACTGCTTCTCAGAAAGAGTGATTACATATTGGAATAGGCTACCTAGGGAGGTTGTGCAGTCACTAACCCTGGAGATGTTCAAGAATGGTGTAGTTGTGGCTCTGGGGGACATAGTCAGCGGGCATGGTGTGGATGGGTTCACAGTTGGACTAGATGGCTTTAGAAGTCTTTTCCAACCTTTATGATTCGATGATTTGAAGTTTGCTTCTGAAGAACAGGCCTGTGCTTGAGGAGGATGAGCAGCCCCACACATTCAACTGTGGCTGAGGAGCCTAAGGGCAGTTTGTCACCTGCACTTTGTGCAGTCTTGGAGAAGCACTGCAGCAGGTGGGTATTGTCTGCTGTGATCTGGTCAGAGACCACAGGTGGACACCTCCTGCCCTTGCTCACAATGGACAAGTAGTGAATAACTGAACCCAGAGGATGGACTGAATAAAAATGGGAGAAGTGGCTGCATCTACCTGAAGGATGGAGAGGAAAAGTTGAAGATGGTAGCAGTGAGAAGACTGAAAGAGGATCAACAACAATTAGGATGACACCATTAGCTGTCATGGAGATAATGTTATCCTCAAGCCTGACAGAACAGCATGGCTGTTGTTGTGAGCTGTCAGCTCTCACAGCTCAGGGATGATACTGCTGTCAGCTAGAAATTCATACAGCCAATACATTTTTCTGATGGGGAATGAAAGGCAGGTGCTCTGCAGATGTACAAGGTACCCTTGATAGACAGACTTTCGGTTGAGGAGGAGGAAGACAGGATGAGAACCAGCTGACCTAGGATGGAGCAATGGACCACTTTTAGCTCTTCATTTCCTATAATCCAGCAATTTTATTTGTACCAACTTGAGCTAGGAGTCAGGAAATGCTTCCCTTCCTCAAGCATTATTGCATTTATTTTGGTTTTGGGATATTAACAAAAAGACAGTAGTCTCCTCTGTGTTTGATACTGTTAAACTCTGCATAAGGTTGGAGAACTTGAACAAAGTTCAGTGACATTCATACAACAAAGGGTAGCATAGACTTCTGCCAGGCCTCTTATTTAATGTGCAGTAAGTAGATGTTACAATTACAGAAATGGAAAACATCCAAGACACTTGTAGAAAGCAGGCCCAGTTTAATTTTATCAAACTGATATAAAATGAAACTTAAATATACTGATGATATATATTAAAAGATAGTTCTCCAGCTTACATGAAATTACTGATATGTCATGTTGAAGAGGCTCTGTGCCGTCTTTGAAAATATGCAGAAAGAAAAAGACTGTCATCTCACACTTCCTGATATATGTGGACAGGAAAAGTCAGGATGAACTTCAGAGTCTGCTTCTTTCATGCAGTAAAACGAAGGGGTTGAGACAGCAGGCAACAAGCCAACCTGTAGGCACAAGGAGGGGTAGGACCAATTATTTAATACAGAACAGGGCATCCTGACTGGGGACCTTCATAAATCAAGCAGTGTGAAAGACAAGGAGGAGACACGAGGGAGATGTTCAGCTGGTGGGAAAGGGGGTATGTTCCAGCACTGGATGTCTGCTCCACATCCTCCTAGTGTTTGGCACACAGGCACCTACCTACATTAAGCAAACATGCATCCAGTGAAGCCTGCCCATCGGAAGCTGGGGCCTGCAGACTTCACATTGCATCTGCAATCTGCATACACAACCTTGAGCATACGGCACTATACAGCACTCAGATTCATGATCCGATATTCTTTTTCAGCTGTTTTGATTCTGGGCATAATTATTCTGCTTAGCTGCCCACCCTACCCAGTGCATGGCCTGCAGGCCTGTTTTCCACTGTTTTTTTTTTTTTTTTCCCTTTTTTCTTTCCTGTTTTGTCCGGTAATCATTATTACTGAGTTTCCTTGTGGCCTTACCCTCAAATCAAACTGATGCCTATTTCTCCATAGCGTGCATGGGAGAGGAGGTGGTTCAGACACACAATAAAATAGAGAGGTCAAAGTTGCCTGATGTTTCTCACTAATTGTGGGTGCCAAAATGAAGGCACTTGAGCTTCTGTTTCCCAAAGCTGCTGGCGAGCTTTCAGTATTTTATACACTCAGCATACAGCTCCCACTAACTTCCTTTCCAGGTGTGCGTGCTTAGCACTGCCACAAACACTGTCTGCACGAAAAACATGGCATGTAGTGAGTAACAAACAAAGTCTGGGCTGAATGAACTCTGCCCAGAGAGGGAGGAGCACATCTGTTTCTCCAGCACAGCATCCCTCTGCCTCTCTCACAGGATGTTCCCTGCTGTAACATCATACTAATGGCATTAGGGCCACTCAACGCAGGTAACCCACAACGGCTTCCTCCTCCTCAGTCAAATCAGGCAGTGGTTGTATCAAAATACAGTATGTGTTCATGTAACTAGAGTGCAGCAAAATGCCTCTGAAGTTCACAGCAGAGGCATTCCTCAAGTTTCGCATCTCCTAAGCAAGTGATCAACTCTGCAGCTTTAACATGAGGCACCACAACAAAATCAAAATCTTTTAGATAAGAACTGAACTTAATATTTTGTTGCATAGATTTATATTGATAAGCCATTTTGGCTGCCATAGAAAAGTTATTAGTTTCAGTCAAGTAATAAAGGTGTGCACTGCAGATCTGTCAGATTAGGAAAGCTGTTCCTTTCTTTGTAGACTAGCCACAGGTTGAAGAGAAAGAAGGCGTATAATTAATGAATATAAAGATGTTATGAAACTATGAAATAAACAAGAGAGTTTGGTTAAGCAGCTTATAATAACAAAAAGAGAATAGATAGAACACTTACCTATATCCTGAGCTTGCTGCAAAACTCCAAAGAAGAGATCTCCAGAAAAGACCCTTTCCCACTGGTATTCAGCTCTTAAATGGGTCTAGGAGAGGTGCAGCCAGGCTTCACCCCTTCCATCAGCACAGGTGAAGGCAATTCACCTGTGCTCTGTGGCTGACTCATTGCTCGCCTCAGATGATCAATCAGAGGTTCAGGCCGTGATTCAGCAGTTCCCATACAGAAGGGGAATGAGTAGGACTTTCATTCTGGGTAGGATTTTCTCAGCTATTTGCATTTAACAGATGGATAGGAAGACTGAGGTCTTGTATATCCACTTCCAGGGTTGTGATAGAGTTTGGGACAGGCAGTTGCACACTATTTTGCCACTACATCTTCTCTCATTTCTTTAATTCTGTAGACTAAAGAAAATAAATCAATTAATTAAAGTATTTGTAATAATCCAGTCTTCACCTCCATATAATTCCATAAGTGATACAAAATAGGACTGGGTTAGCACCTCTTCCAGACAGATTAATTTTTTTATGTTTTCATAATGAGTTTGGCCACTTAATTTTGGTCATTGTATTAAAAATATCTGAAGAAAGGCCAATTGCTTATGAATTTAAACAGTGTTCTCTGCTCTTGGTGAGTTTGATGTGTGGCCATAGAAAATGAAAATTGCACTTGGTTTTGCTAAGTAGCTATTTGAAAGTGATAGAGGTCTTTCCTTCACTCTCTAGGCTGCATCCGTTTCAGAGTGCCTCAGAGACGTTACCTCATTAATTTTAATGAGAAGCCCAGACGTGAATCTGACACAACCATAAATTGTTCTTTTTGTGTGTGCATGTACGTGTGTGTTTAAAAGAGCTCCCTGTGTTACCCTGTGAAGGACCTGCCTGTGTTGTGTGCTGACGTCCACTATTTATGCACGTGTCATTCTGGCCTCACAGCACAGTTCCCTTTTTATCCTTCAGCCAGCCTTTGTGAATTACCTTCACGCTTCTCCCTGTAGTGCCTTCCGTGCAGATAGCTTATTCCATCTCTCAAACAGGAGCAAGAGATTCTCCTACTCCAGACAGCCTCTAGATCAAAGCTGTAACATCACTCCAAAATACTCAGGCACACCTGTATGTTCTCTTCAGCCCTACCTTATGTCCTTGTTCAAGCTGCACATCCTCCAAGGAATCTCCTCAGACCCTCTTGAGAGGCATAAGCTGAAGGCTGAACTCAGGATGCACAGCTGAGCATGGGTGGCAGCCCTGCCAGTCTCAGGAAAGGAATAAGGGAGTTGAATGATGACTTCTCGCCCTCCTGTTTTCCATGTCTGACTGCCCAACCTGTTCATGATGACCCTTGAGAGGCAAGCCACCAATGGAAACTGTTGCCAAAGGAAAAGCCCCTGCTCAGATTATCTGCAGTGGAAAAGATCCGGGTTTGTACATCCACCTATAGGAAGTCCTGGAAAAATAATGTCCTCAATACAGCCCATTCACCAGCTCCCATGAGATGAAATCCCAAGTGTCTGCTTTGGGCAGTGGGCATTGGCTGCTTAAATGACTTTGCCACAAGGTACAGCAACAATTTGTCCTTGTCATATATAAGAAGCAAAATGAGCAGTGGAAGAACACTCACCACAATGTCTAAGCTCCTAAAATGCCTTCCTCCCATGTGCCTGCATTTCATGGGTGACCCATTTCCCCTTCCAGAAAGATCTTTGTTTCCTCCTATTGCATGACAGCCTCACTACTGCTTCCAGCTATGAGCCATTTTCAACCCTGCTCATCTCCTCACCAAATTCTAATTCTACTCAGATCATCTCAGACTGGTGAAGAGGTGTTTGGTTTTTGCCCAGCTGGTGCCTATTTGCTTAGCAAATGCCCAAAATTTAGGTAAACTCTAACAGCCTTCTCTGTCCTCATCGGACTTAATTCTTACAAGTAGTTTGACTGTCATTAGGATATTCCCATCAGCGAGAGTATTTATGTTGTTTTCAAACCCTCTCATAGTAGTTAGGGCCACCCACCAGCTCTTTAAAAAGAGATGCTGCATCTGTTCGGTGAACAAGTTATGCATCTGCATTGTAAACTTTGATTCAACCCAGATATGCATGTGCCTTGGGCTTCCTCTGCTCTCTATGTCCTGATTAGCATCTGCTCTTCTGCAAACATCCCATGTAGCTTGGCAACATGGACTCTTCCCTTCCTGTGTGACTGCGTATGACTGCACTGCCATTTTGTCTTGATTAACATAGAATCATATAATCAGAGAACAGTTTATATTGGAAAGGACCTTAGAGAAGGTTTAGTTGCAATCTCATTGCCATGGGCAGGAACACCTTCCACTAATCCGGGGTACTAAAAGCCCCGTTCAAATTGCTCTTGAACACTTCCAGGGATGAGGCATTCACATCTCTGAGCAAAATGTTCCAGGGCCTCACCACCCTCATCATGAATAACTTCTTCCTTGTATCTACTCTAAATCCACCCTCTTCCAGTTCAAAGTCATTACCTCTACTCCTATCACTGCCTACCCTTGTAAAACGTTTCTCTCCAGCTTTCTTGTAGGACCCCTTTAAGTGCTGGAAGACCACTAATAAGGTCTGTCTGGAATCTTCTCCAGGCTGAAGGACCCCAACTCTCTCAGCCTGTCTTCAAAGGAGAGGTGCTCCCACCCTCTCATCATGCTCACGATCTTCCTCTGGTTTCACTCCAGTAGGTCCATTTCCTTCTTCTGCAGGGGCTCAAAGCTGAATCCAGTGCTCTAGGTGGGATCTCACAAGAGCAGAGTTGAAGAGGAGAATCACCACTTTTGGCCTGTCCTTCACACTTCTTTTGATTCAGCACAGGATACAGTTGTTTTTCTCTGCTGAAATGCATATTACTGTCTCATAATTGAGTTTTTCATCAGCCAGCAACACCAAGTCCTTCTCCTAATGTCTGTTTGCAATCTGTTCTCTTCACAGTCTGTAATATAAGGGTAGAAAAGTTTCTGTTCATAATGACACTGTTTCAGAATTTGATGGTGTCTGTCTCACCTCAGTATCACAGGGCTACCTCTTCTTGAGCTTTATCGTGTACACATAAGTGGAAGCCTGAAGAACTTCTCTTTCTTAGAATGTTCCAAGTCTTTGTTCCCCCAACTATATGTTCATAAATGCACTTTGGTTTTGTATGTCTTTGCAAACTGCCAAAAGCTGCATACTTTTCATGATATGGGATACTTTTATTGAGAGCTTGTAACTAAATAGCCTTCATCAAGCACATTGATTTCTGTTGCAACTGCTTCCATGTTTATTGCAAATTAATCTGTCCTCTGCTTTCTGTTTACCCTGGCTCAGTTTTTGTGCCCTGGTATACTTGTGTGAGTAGATTCAGTACCCCTGGCTCACTCCTTAACACTTAACACTTCCAGGGGCTGGTTTTCTCTAGACTCCTAAGCCTCTGGCGTTACTTGCCAACTCAAGTCCACTTCCACCTTCCCTTGTGGTCAGTCACCACAAATCACCCACTCTCCAGTTGATGCCAAACATCCAATAATAAGCAAGATTTGGTTTCATCCACCTAGCCCACCAAAATTTTGGATAGCATCTTCTGACAACTCTCTTGTAGAGTTGTTTTCAGGATGATTACTGGAGGACTGGAGACTTAATCTCTATCAGGCTGGAATGGGCTGCAAATGTCTCACATCTGAGATAAAAACTTCTTACTTTCATTTCCTTGAAATAATTCCCATTTTTAGACAACTTCAAACTTAATGCAACCCAATTCTGATTCTTCACAAGTCTCCTTTGAAACCCAGGGACTGAGTCTAGGTTTAGCAGATTTGTTTCCTGCTGACACTGCACAAGAAAGATACTGCCAGGGTGTGGAAGATCAGTCTTTTTACCTGGCACTCAGTGCATAGCAGCATGCAGAGAGTAAACACTTTGTCCCATTCAGGCAGGTCACAGCCAAGGAGAGAGTGGCAAAGCTTGTCCTTTAACATTTGTTCTTTCTTCAGTCTCGTTTTTCATGTTCTCCTTCCTCAATCCTTCTCTGCCCTCTCCCTTTCTTATTCTCACTTCTTCTAAAATAGTCTCTCTTTTTCCACCTTCAGCCTTGACTTTCTTTTTGTCTGACTGTGCAAAATCACCTCCCACCCAAGGAACTGCAATTCTCTATGGTTGGTGAGCTGCAAACAGGACTCTGTCAACAGAGCACTTGTGCTAGCAGTGCAAACCGTGTGAGCTCAGCCTGCTGCGTCAGAGGGAGGGAGCAACACTGCACAGAACACGGACCTCCTCCATGGCCAGGGTCAGCTGTTTGAGTTTCCATCCCTTGGGTGCAAGTGAATCTGCATTTAAGTGGGACATGTTCTCCAGTTCCTGCTTCTAAAAGTAGAACCCATTTAACTCAGCAGATTGCCCAGCTGGAACAGGCTATTTACAGCTATACCTGAAGCTCTGATAAGATAATGGTTATGTTGTAAATACCTATCCCATTATGCTGCCTTTGGTTAGTGCTTGCAGTCACACATGAACCAAATGGCTCCTTGTATTCAATAACATCTCAGGGCTCCTTCATGAAGCAAGCTGGAAGTCCCATAGGATTTTTAAAATTTGTTTATTTTACTAGAAATTTCCCGAGACGTGGTAAAATCATCTGATTGCAGGGTAAAAAGCAGGTGTTGCAGCTGGGTCTCAAGGCAGGGAGTCAGGGTGGGCCATTTTTCCACTTTGGTCATTTAATAGGTGTACATTTCATTAACTGAGATCAGATCTGACATTTATTGGAATTATTAGAGAATGGTGAAAGGGGTGAGATGGAAGAACTTATAATAAGGTAACCATCAGAAAACACATGTGCACATCTCAGAGCAAAAGAGGATTTGTTCCTTTCTCCCTCTGTCCTCTTCCTTTCCCAAAAATATAGTCTGATTCCAAAGCAGAGAGAAGTGCTTCTACTTGGCCTCACCAAGGGTCTTCCCCGTTCTGTGTTGGTGACGGAAATGGTCAGCACTTGGGACCTCTGTCATGGCAAGAGGACAGAGAGAGTCTTCCAAGTGATCTGTGTTGGGGATGGGGCAGGGGAAAGACAGTAATCTCCAGCTAGTATTTGAGGATGTTTGAGTGAGTTTGAGGAACCC